CATGATTTTGTGTGTGTGTGTGTGTGTGTGTGTGTGTAAGTCCCTTCTAGATAGTCTTATTGTATTATATTCTTTTTGTTTAATTATTCTGGGCCAGATCCTCAGCAAATAGATGTTGCTCCATTACAATTGATGGGGTTAAATCATTTTTTACCAGATCTGGCCTTCTCTATTCAGTTATTTTAACCAGTGCTATGTAGTACTGAAGTAAGGCTCACTGCCCTGTAATTCCCCATATTCTCCCAGCACACTTTTAAAAGATAGAAAACATTTATTATCTTCCAGTATGCTAACTGATTTTAAAGAGCAAATTTCCGTTAGCAGCACAGTCACTGCATTCCTGAGTGCCTTTAGAATGCTTGGATTCTTTCCTGTGCTGCTAACTATGTAATCTTTAATTTATCACATAGTTCTAGCTCTACATTCAGGATCTTAACATCGCCTTGCCTTTGTTAGCTTCAGTAGGTATCTCTTGAGTATCCCCTCTGCTTAAGGGTGATGTAACAAAAGTAAGAACTTCAGTGAAACCCAGAACACCCACTCATTTTCTTACAGACTTCCTGCTTCCTTGATGCCAAAATTAAATTCTTATTTACCACCACAAATGTTTTCGAGGTGCAAAATATTTCTACTTGTTCTTATATAAATTGTTCATTTCTGCCTTTTTTAGGTTCCTGCCATGATCAGCAGCAGAAATGCCAAAATGCTATAAGAAAATCTAGCTGAAAAAGGTCTCTAACCCACATGGAAATAGGATGAACCAGAAGCATGGGAAATATCTACTTGATGGCGATTTCAAGATCCTCTTTAAAAACTCTTTTCTGCCATGATGCCTATGAAGAACTTGACAATATTTCTCCAGCTGGTGAGTTGCGACCACTGCATATTGTAATGACAATATGTAATTGTTTCCTGTCTATTTTACAGTATGCACCTGTTATCTATAGAGCTTAGGCATTTAGACTGTAGGCATTTTTAGGCTGAAGCTGTCCTCATTGTTTGTACAGTTGTAGTGGGGACTGTAGTGGGGACAGGACTGCAGTCCTCTAGACAGGACTGCAGTCCTAATGACAAATTTTGCAAAAATAAGAGGCTCAGATAAACTAGACAGATATCCTCCCCCTATTGAGTCCATTCTCTTGCTGTAAAAACCAAGATCCCATTTCTCCAGGAATCTGATGTGTTCTTGTTTCATCCTCAACTCCCAAGTACAGTGAGGCAAATGGATTTCTCAGTTAAATGATAATCCCCCAAAAATATTTTTGGGCTGAATGGATTTTTTAAAATGTTAATGAATCAGTAGGTCAAAGACAATTTAGAGCCATTTTGCAAGTTACACTTAGCATTTGTTAAATGCACTTAGCACACGTTTTACTGTTTTAACGTGTGGTTGTTCATGTTTTAAGTGCACTCATATCTAGCAAAGTTATGACTTCTCAGGCAAGGAATATTTCCAGATTGCATTAAGTAACACATGTTAGCAAGCATCAGACTGCTCTGCAGAGGGAGTATTAGCAATTTGCAGTCCTCACCCAGCCATGGCAACCAGCGATGCCTCTGCTGTACCAGCTCTCAAGGTGGGATGAGGAAAGCCACACGTCAGGAGGAAGAATCAGCTGATTGTCATCCCAGCCCCAATATCTCACCGGAGCCAGGTAAAGATGCTAGTGCAGTACTAGAGTTGGGATTAACAGTCAGTGAACTGTGTATGTTAGAGATTGTAGTAAACAATACTGTGCAACTGCTCAGAAAATGTTCTAACTTTAATACTGCACAGATTTTACATGTACTAAGTATCCTATGTGACAAGGCCATTGGGTCCATTTCAATCTGAGCAGGTGTAAATCAAATATTTTGTGTCAGTGTTACTAAATATTTAAATATTTTTTACTCTTTGAAAGAAAATGAAAGGACATTTCTAAATGTAAAGTGATTTTTGTATCAAAACAAATGTTTTGGACACTCTGGGAAAAATAAAAAGTTCTGAATTTTTTTTTTAAACAATATCTTATTTGCTTGGAAATTAACAAGTCAGTAAAATTTATATCAATTCTGGAAAATGTTAAGTGTTTCCAAATTTGCATTTTGCTGGAAAAAACATTTAGGTTGAAAAATTTCACTCATATCTATGTCAAGTGTTCCTCCATTCTTTCTTTCTTTCTGGCTGTTTCATAGTTTAAGAAAACTGTAGTTAGCACCACTTTTGTCTCTCTCACTTGAGCAAAGTTCTCAGGTGGAGGAATAGCTACTGTTCTCTTTGGTCATGAGTTTATAGCTCAAGTGTTTTTGATATAGATCATCCCTAACCTGTGGTTACCAGGGTCATAAATTCACAAGGCAATAAGACACAAGCAGTTGTTACCTTACGTGAACTGACTCACCGAACAGGTTCACTGACTGTGCTCCCAGCTGAGAAATCAGTAGTCCCTTAATGAGAATCACACCTTCTGCACCAAGCTGGGCCAAGGTAGACTCTCAGCATTGCTGAAACAGCTAGATATACTTAGTGGTGAAAGGCCATCTCCACTGCATGCCTGCTCAACTCCTGTGGAACATCTCTGATGCTCTCTGACATTTGATTTAGTCAGTCCTGTGGGTATGTGCTGTCTGTAGCCAGCTGCAAAGTCAGCATGACTTGATGCAGAGAGTAGTTAGCAGTGATTCCAGTGGGAGCTGGGTACCCTTGATTGCTTGGGGATCTGTGCCTCAGTCCCTATTTGTGATTTGGGGCTAAAGATACTCCCTTTGTCTGTCTTCCTGGCTTTTGATTGCAAGCTTGTTAGGGCAAAAATTGCCTCGGTTATGTATGACACGTTACAATAGAGCCCGCATCTCAGCTGAAGCCTTTAGGAGCTAACCCACCATAAATGGAAGTCAGTGGGGAAAGTCTGCTTTTTATTTTTGTGACCTGAACTGCAAAGCTAGAATAAAGGAATCTATTTACTGAATGTGCTGAATACCTAGCGAAGTGGGCTATGATACAAAAATATTTCAACTAATATTCTTGAAAACCCTAACCTTCCCAGTCTGTCTTGTGTCCAGTTACCATCTCTTATCCTAGGTTAATACAGTAAACTCTTTTGGACAGGCACTATCTGGTACTTCTGTGGGTACCAGAACCAGACCACTGGCTCCCTGATCCTGATTGGGGGCAGTAGGCACTTCTGTAAAACAAATGCATAGCTACTGATGTCTGGAGCCCCTGTCTGCAATCCACTGGCAGAACTTGATTTCCTGGAGATATCCAGGAAAGCATCATTCTTTGTGACAGGTGTCAGAAAACTCATTGTATCCCCTAGAATATCTTAGAGACTAGATTCTTAGTGGAGGTAAACAGGTATAGCTCCATTACAGTCGGTGGAGCACAAAGATTTCTGGGATAGCTTTGGAGTGGTTGAACAGATTTCATAAAAGGTTGGGGAAGATACCTTTTAAGCGTTTAGCTTGCTTCCGTGCAACAGCCTCCCCCAGCCTAGTTGCTTGATCATTCAACAGAGAACTCTAGCTTTAAATTTGCCTTTCCTATGGTTTGCACTATCCCTTTAAATGCATTACTTTGATGTTTCAAAGTTCCCTCCTAGTAACTCTTTGTTCTTGGCTGCTCTATGGCTGTACCTCCTGCAATGAGAACTTGCATTGTATTTCCCAGTTCAGACACCAGGACTGAAATACCAAGCTTTGTACACAGGAGCTTTGCAGTTCTCCAGCTCAAATCTTGAGTTGTCCACAGGATGGCTCTACCAAATTTCTTTTGCAGAAACTAGAGAGAAGAAAGTATCTACATTTGTTCAGGTGTTGTCTTCCATGGACAGAAACATTATTCCAAACTATTTAGGGCGTTCATGATATTTGTCTCTGTTTGTCTGGAAAACAATTACAGGACAGTAAGAAAAGGTCAAATTGTGCTCTTCTTTCTAGTTCAGGTACTTTCATGCATTTCATGTCTCAGTCAAAGAAGGGAAGTGTCATTACCTCCCTTTTAAAGATGCATGACTAATGTCCTAGTCCTCCAAGGTATTTAGGCCTCGCTATCGTTGATGTCAATAGTTTAACATCTAAATACCTCTAAGGATCTGGATGTGTTGTGATTTACTTAAGACGAGACATTGACATTAGATAAGAAGATTGAATCTGGGTCATCCTAGTCCCTATGTAATGTGTGAATGAGCCTTGTGTACGTTTCAGAGCTACCAGTGACAAATACGTTCATGTTATGGAGAGAAAATCTGTGCAGTGTCCATGTATTTCTCTGTAGTATTGGAATAGCTGCACTGTGGGATTGAGTTTTGATCATTTTTAGGAAAGAGTCCTAATAGTTTCATTGATGGGAAGTCTGACTACAAAATAGCAGATCGAGAGCCAGTGCCTCTTCTGCTGGGAGGTAAAGCAAAACAAAGCAGCCCTAAGAGCCCCTTCATTCTGCTAGCTGATTCTCTAGGACTTGCCTTTCACTAAGGTTGCTTTTAATTACTGTACATCTCAGACCCAAACATGTAAATAAAAGCAAAAGAAGCATCATTACACAGGGTGAGGAGACCTCTGAGTCTTTGCTGCTCAGAGACCAGTCCGTTCTATTGTGTTATGGCTTATTCAAGTGAGTTTGGGTTAAAAGGGGTTAACAGCACTCTGCTGTAACACATGATTGGTCTTTATGAGGTTGAAGCTCTTGTCTGTTTGAGGCCTACAGATGATGCTAAAGAGCCAATAATGACAGCAATTCAAAGCAATCTAATTATGCAAACGGGAGGCTAAACAATTTCATCATCCTTAAATTAGATTGTCCTAATGAGATAAAGACACCAATTAATCCTGAATTAATTTCAATAGCCTATTTCAGGCAAACACTTTAATATGCAAATGTAAATGAGAAACAAAGCCTACTGTAGAATGCCAGAGTTCAGAACCTCTCTCTTCACAGCTGCAGCGGGTGTAAATAGTGTCTAATGAGTTTGCATGGAAAGACACAACCAGTTGAAAATTTTAGACTTCATAAAGCACAGCTGGTGGCTCAGGTATGTTGTGAAACCGAGCTGGGCAGGAGAAAGGGGGAAAGGGAAAGGTTGCTGCTGTGAAACGGATCAACCACTCTCTGCAGATAACGCACAGGATGGGCCCATCTGAGTCCACTGCGGGATTGAGGACTTTAACAAGATGCTGCTCCACAAAGCCAAGCTCTCGTGCTGAGTACCTGGCCGATCGCCTTTCTAGGACATGGAGATGATTTTAATTAGCTGTTGCTTAATTGTTTTAAATTAGCTGCTTTCCCTTGCACTTGAAGAAAAAGCACAGTTTTTTATTTTAGAAACAAGATTCAGGCATGTGGCAGAAGAAAGGAATGCAGGCAAAATCTGTGTTATAAACAAAGCAAATAACCTTTTCAGATTATTTGCTATGTGGCTCCCTGTCACAGCGGGGTCCTTTAAGGAGGGCTGTGATCTCCTCGAGTTCCCTCGCTCCGTGTCAAGGCCGGCCCAAGGCACCCTCTTATTCTCGCCAACCATGTCTTTGATGTTCAGTAGGTTTGGGAGGCTGCCTATGACTCCCTGGGCACGGCTACTCGGGACCTCTGTCCCTGTGTGTTCCTGGACCCCCTGGGCGTCTCCCAGTGTAATGGGTGCTCCCCAGGCACCCTAGCCTTATGGGCTACGCGTGGCTCCTACCAGCCCCTAATACCACGCCCCAA